AAAGCCGATTGTGTGCCGACCACAGATTGTCTGAATCTGAGTTATTATAAATAAACGCTTACGTAGCTCTTGTGTTCCATTCCCACGTCGCGTCGTACTGACCCCCGAATGCACATTCCTCGCAAGATCCGCTTAAGAGCATCTTCAACGGTCTTCCTTTATCAGTCACTAGAAGACCGCCATTGGTATGGCACAGATGCCGTTCCACGGATGATGATAGTGATCAAAGTGGCCAGACTGAATTTCGGAAAGGGTCTATACAATCAAACATTTCCTGACGCGTGCTGATGAATACTGACAGATTGCAAGTTTGTACTTTGAGAAGCAACAGATGCTGGAAAGTGAACTTCAATACCTCACGGGAGCGCTTGAACGTATAACAAAATAACATAAACAATATTGCGGAACACTTTTTATGTCATTTCTGTATTTGTTTTCGTATTTTATTTCTGATGGCTAACGTCCTCAAAGTATGCATCCCGAAAACTTCGTATAAATAGTATTGTTGTGATATAAGCAATATGCCACTAATATGCCACTAAAGACAAGCTTGAAAAAAAAGAAGAAAAAAAAACTTCAAAATCGCGTTTGCATTGAGTCTGCGTGTTCATGTGCGAATGACCTGGGAAGGATAAGAAAATAATCAACTTTTATCTTTATTCATGCACTGCAGACTGGCGCGCCGTTGATATCAACTGAGTGTTAATTATTACCCACATTCGGGCTGACCATCACTTCCCGCTATCTAAACACATACACGACACAATTCGCCCGCCAGAGCTGTAAGCACGGCGCATGCCCAAAAATTTAGTTTTGAAAGAGAGTACCCCCACATGGCCTGTTTTTCACAAAGGAAACAGCCGTCCTCGCAAGTATACGGAAGATCCAAAAGCGATCGAATAAACGGGCCCCTACACATGCACTTATCGATATTTTCACAAAAGTTCGATAAATCGGCACGGATAATACGCTTGAAATTAGTAAGCCATTAGTAACCCGTCAATCGTTCATCAACGACGGAAGGGCAGCCACTCGTCACGGTTCGTGTTCAGTTCTCCAAAGAAGAAGACGAAAGAAAAAAAAATATATACCTTGGATCGTTCTAACTCGAATTTACACGATACTGAGCTATGAGTTATCCACGGAAAGAAAGATGGGGCGCAGACTGTACTGTTTAGGTTTCGATCAAGCTGCCGCGTAATAATAAATGAGACATTTATTAAAGCGATTCGGAAGCGAACCACGCGTGGCAAGTCCTGCAGAAAGACGGCGCTAGCATGCATATTTTTGCCGCCGCCACTCGAAGACGCATATTTTGGTCACGCCAGCACGTCTCATAGCGCGTGATGGACGAGCTCTCGCGTCGCTGCGCACAGACGTTTCCACTTCTATATGGCTAAAAGGGCACCGGTATGATACGATGCGAATTTGCTCTATAGTATTTCCTTTTTGTTTTAGCTTTGTTTTTTAAGGAAAGTCAGGAGCGTTTATATCATTACGTTCTCGGATATTTCTTTGCCGTGAAATCGACTTCAAACGTCGCGGGTATTTCTGGACGGCTCACATTTTTACCCAGCGCCCCTGCAGGCTGGACTGCATGTTTTCCAGATTAAAGGTTCAAAGGTTCTTTTTCATTCATGACGCCCGCCATTCGCAAAGTGCGCTTTAGAGCTTATTCTGTTGGATTTTGAGTTCTAAACGACACAAATATAAAGGCAATTTCCGCTTTGTTGGTGTTGTTGTTGTTGTTTACAAGGTGGCTGTGATCACAGGAATACAACACCGGCAGCTAACCTTTCGTTCTCTGCGTGGAAAAAAGAAAAAAAGAAAAGCTTAAGGGCGAACTTTTCTGAAAGAATCAGGAACCGGGACCCACCGATCGGCATGCGTAGTGTCAAATTCGCGAGCTGATTCGCCAATTGTTTAAAAGAGTTCGTTTTG